AATGTCAAGCGTACATGCGCACAGCCAAGTAACGCATGGGTCTGTAAGCTTAATGACAGACTTTTCTTTGTCACTGTCAGGAGGCAAACTTTAAATGTCATAGAAGTCACGTAATGAAGGTACAACCCAACAGAATCGAGAGCACAAATATTTAAAATTGCGTTAAGGCGTACGGAGAAATAATAAGCCTTAGAAGTGTGTGCACTTTCTAATGATGATTTACCTGTGAGGATAATGCAGATGACTGCGCAGCATATCCGAAGAGTAAAAGCTTTTAAGCGTCCCTTTCTTCGAGTGGGGAGACTCTTCTGTCTGACCTCCCATGGGCGGGGGCTCGTGTGAAAGTCTGGGTTCCCGAACTAAGTTATTTTGCTCTCTGTTGCTTCTTCACAGCGGTGTAAATGGTCCTTTGTGCCTCTATGAACGAAGTTAAACCATCTACCTCTTTTGTACTACATTCTAAATTAAGATCTTATTCTTCCAAGTAGGACTGCAACTGCTGTTGAGGCCTCAAAATTGTTTCAAGATATCCTCCTCTTGTTGCTCTTGAGCTGATCCCTCTACACCATTTGGTGACTCGATCAGCTTGGGTAAATCACTCTCCGCCAGGGGGTCAGGGTTAGCATTGATGAATGTGCTGAATTCTTCCACATTGATGGAATTATTAAAACCCTCACTCCTAAGCGATTTTGTTACTCTCACCCCTATTAACGGCCTCATTATAAATCTACTCCAGCGATCACTTCACATACGTAAAATCTGCAATCGCCTGAAGTCAAGGTTTCAAATCCGTTTTTGGCGCTGAAATCTTAGCATAGTAAGACCTATCTCCAAAATTAGTTTAAGCAACTTATTAATACTTCACGTAGGTGAATCACTACGCAAACCAGATGCCCTCCTGGTGCAGCAATAGTAATTTATTTGACCCGTACCACACCATTCTTTTCTCCTTTTTTATCTTAATCCAGATTAAAACGTAGCCACCTAATTTCTGGTATAAGCTCTGCGATGCAGCCTTTAATACAAAACCATCTCCCGTTCGGGACAAACCCACACGGTGACAGATTGCACGACCGCCATACAAGATGCCCTATTTGCTCGTGGCTAACAATGTGGTATCATTTTGGTTGAAGGAATTACGCTTGACAATAGACGAGTAGCGGGAGGACAAACTTGATTTTTGAGAAATAGTTGCACGGGATAGGAAACCCTGGCCGACATCCATTCAACTACTAGGAGAATTGTTTGTTTCTATGGCCCATTCGCTACGGTCTGAAATTGCAGCAAAACTCACCTAACCAAACCATCTGTTTACTTTACCTGCAATACCAACGCCTAGCCTTTGGGACTTAGTTATCAGAAGGGAGAAAGTGAAGCACGCAGCACCCCTACGTATAGATGCTTATTGCAAAAAGTATAGTGCTTTCGAAAAATGGGAGCTCCCTACGAGTAAAACATGCTCGTATCCTGATAGACCATCGCAAACAAAAGATATCTCTCACCTAGAATTTCAATATGCAAGGAGTGGATTCATGTTAACTGAAAAGGAAATACGACAAGCCTTCGCATCATCGTTTCTACCATAGGAATTCGGAGCGGTGGGTCATTTCGGGCCAAAGTAAGGTACAATACCAGTTCGAATCGAAATACGATTTTTACAGTGCCCCAAATAGTCTTCTACTAAGGTAAAATACGGAATGGGATGAAGTTCACAACTAGGAATCAATGTAAGGATTTGCCGATAAATTTATTACTAAATGCAGCTATTTTTGTCGAGCATAACTTTTGAAAAAATATCCTGAAACAACTTGGATGCTCTCGGTTACAATCTTCAAGGGAGCCAATTGGACCTAGATAAAGGATGGAATTTGCACAACTTATTCTGCACAAACACTTTACAAACAAAAGACTCAAACTTACCAATATTTCCACAATTCTTCCAAGCGCTTTTGCTTTTCAGATACTTTGGCACAGTGGAAGGCGACCTTTTTTAGAGCCGTTGCCATCATGCCACAAACGTCTTTCTCTTCGACTCGGCTTTTTTCTGAAAATATCAAAGTTTACCTGGAGTTAACTTCCCACCACACAAAAGCCATATGAAAATGCTATCATTTTACAATGGAAGACCATAAATGAAGATCGAAACTCCAGAATAGGACGATAAGTAGAAAGTTCACGAGGCCACAACCACATCTCAAAATACGTAAGACCATACCTAAAGAGGGACGCAAGACGTTCCGTAGTTCCATCATGCTCCCAAGTGCGGCATCAAGCTCATTATTTACCAGATCGATGCTGTCACCATCCACAATGATCTGGTGAATTCTTTCCAGAACTTTCTCGACGGGCTAGGGGGCCTCGATTCAAGCATGGAAATTCAAGTTACCGTTACAAATGGATCAGAATTAAAGCGTTTGCAGATCTCCTTGTAAAGATAAGGTGGATCCCGTGAACTATGGAACACTAGGTGTGAAGATACAGACGTACCCCAGACGAGGAATGTGCGCCAAACGACATATCTCCAAGGCGGCATAAGCTCCCAAATTTATGCTTTGACCACCTGATTGGGTCTGCAATTCATTAAGGAGTGCGGAAAGCCGATTCATCGAATCAAGAGCACTACCAAAACGTCCTAGCGCCTTCAAATAGTGAGTAAGTTAAGCAAACACACCGACAATTTTAGCGAGGACGTATCAGATGAAAGGCTATTGAGGTACGTCTTTGCACACGCTAGTTGTGATTTCTTTTCCATCTGGTAAAAATAGAGGTGAAGTCTTTCCAAGAAAAGCCCCCTATCGAAAAACTACTTACGAAACGCCTTTCGAAATCAGTAGAGAAGTGAGCAGCTTTGCGCACTTGCTGTTTTAGAGATTCTAGATATTCTTCGCGAGATTTAAGAGTTTCCAACCGATTCTCCAAAAAATCTCGCTTCGACTTCAGGCCATCAAGTGTGGCACGAGAGAGAATCAGGGGCGTATTCGCGTTTTTCTACGAATGTTAATAAGATGTATGCTGTAAACCCTAAGTTCTTCTCTTTGTTTAACAAGTTCCTCAATGCGAGAAAGCATACTCTTGCAGGTGGCATAGGTCTGGATATGTTTTAAACGGCGTTCCTAAAGAAAATTAAACGAGAGAAATCTTGCATCGATGGAGGAAACACCAAAAGCATCCAAAGAAGTGTTTTCGGGCGGTTGCATTGAAACAGGAGTGGTTTTCGCTTCGACAACATTAACGATGGCTCTCGCCAAAACTGCTCCAGAATACTTCTTGATAGCATCACTAAGTCGAACAGAAAGCCTATTGAATCGACTAAGTTATAGGAAAGTACAATACGCGGGTGACGAGGCTGGACCGCTCTTGTTTTGGTATAATAAAAGCAAACTTCCAACCTAAAGACATAAGTACTAAAAAGGAAAGTACCTCTTCCTCAATTTCAACTCGCTCAGAATCCTTCTTCCTACGATTGCTACCATAAAATGTCAAAAGGTATCCTACCTGCCGTTCAGAATAGAGTTGTTTAGCAAAGACATGTTTTCTGACAAAACACACAAGATGTTCTCCAGCTCATTCCTCAATCTGCATACCTCAGCAGCTTTAATTTGCGTCAGCGCAGCCATTAAAATCAACTCCAGGAACAAACCCACAGCCGAAGAGGTTTCTATTTGGCGGAACGAACCGTCAGACAAAAATCAGGAGGCTTAAACAAGTAACAGTATCAGTAAGTTTATGCGCAACCAAAATTGTTTGTTTGCTCTCGGTTAGGCTAGAGTCTCCGCAGATGTACACACACCTGAGGTCTAGGCCTTCGGCTCATTACAATAGTACTAATCCTCTCTGTATGTCAACAATACACGTTTTGCCTGAGTATTATACTTTATATCATTTTAAGAAAGGCTTTGTGTACAACAAAACTCTGCTATATTGTAAAAGGACTCACATTTGTACCTTGTTAGTGCCATGTTTACTTCGAGAGAACAGAGGCGAAGTGAACAATTTTGTACTCATAAACCAATTGATAATCCCCAAACACGCCTTAAAATCCATCTTTAATTACCTTGTGAATCCTTTAAAGGACTTGTGCATTCTTTAGTGTCGGCTACCCTAGGTTTTTGCAAGATATTTTGAATGTCTTCAATCTTTTATACTTAGCATTAATTTAAATGAAATATGGTAAATTATTATCGTTGTTTAAAGCAAAATATTTTTGACTTTTGTATTTTTTGGCAGTGCAAATTTGTTTGCGTTGTACACAATTGTTAGTTTTATGCACTTCATATACCCTTTTTCTTGAGGTCACCTTTCCAACGCGGGTGAATTGTTTTAGTGAGTGCGAGTCTGGGTTATACTGCGTGACATGGTCGATTCCCGCCACTATTTCGTCTCCATTCCGGATTATGACATAAGGGACCATGAATATGTTACCTACTTTGTCCAAGTTAGGGTAATGGCTCTTGTTCAACAGTTGTCCCAGTCTAATAAGCGAGGTTCAATTCGCTGTATTTTTACCACTACAGTGCTTCTTCGCGTATGATTTGTTTGTTCAGGCATTAAACCATATCATTAGCCTTTGTAATTTAGTGCTCTAGTTTTTTTTGCTAATGGTCGTATCATACTCTATAATTCATGAGAAATTCGCCGCATGTTTTTTTGAGTTTAGTAAAGTACTGCTATTTTGACCTGTTAATTCTGCCTAATCATGCGTTTAAATGTAAGGTTCGTAACCTTTTGAGTACATATTGGATTCGGAAAGGTGATTTTTCCAAGTTAAACAATTAATACTCGTTCAAACTGGAAATCAGGCTTGGCACCAATGAATTCGTGATTTCTTTGTAGGCCCTCTCTGATGATGCGCTAGCATTGTCGAATGGCATTAAGTCATGGTGCATTTCGCGTCGATTCTCTGAGTTTCACCGTCTTCGTGTTATGTTGGAGCGCAAACTGCCTACCTGTCTGATCCCACCGCTTCCTAGCAAGCAAGATGGCGCTAGCAAAGGTTGGCATAAGGTCGCCTCGATTATTGGCGCCAGGAGCGTTGGTCGCGTTTCTCTGGACGCCATCCCTGGAGCTCTGATTGGAAGGCGTTTTGATGTCGATTTGATTGATTCTCGTCGGCAGGCCCTAGAAGCCTTTCTGAATCGTTGCTTATCTCATCCTCGAATAGGCCATTCCCTCATTTTGCATTCGTTTCTTAGTGATTGTGAGGACTGGGTTGAATATCAGCAAAGTCATGTGGGTCAAGATATGTGACTAATTGACCTTAGGAAAACAGTTCAACGAATAGGATAAACACACGTGAAAGTGGTGGTGGGAAAGCGCATAACTCTGACGAGGTGGTGTTACCATCTTCAAATCCTTTATATGGTGCCATTTCCCCACCCGAAGCACTGCAACACAGGCTCCAGGATCTTTTGGATTCAATTAAGCGATTCGTTGACTTGAGGAGACAAATCGACAGTAGACGAAGTATGCTTAATCAGTTGTATAAGCAGGCGGCTGATGCCCTTCATCGTTGGTGCCCCTTTGAGCAGCAGAATTCACCTATTTCCGATTCTATTCAGGTAGATAATTTGGAGTATTTTAGACTTTTAAAGCCTTTTTATTCACTAGAGCAATCCTCTGTTTCCTCGAATTTTGTTTTCGGGAGGAAGGTCTGTCTATAATATATGCACTTCACCTCAGTCTGATCATTATTTTTTGACTCGATTTACCATTCTTAGTTCTATTAAATCTGCTGATTTTGACAATATACTCTAAAATAACTTACGCTGCCATTTTTATTAATGCTGTAGACCCTGGCTCATATACTAGACAGCTATCACGGTCTGCTGGCTCTGATAGAGGACGAGGAAAGCGATATCAACGATCGGTTGAGGAGTCACGTGCGTTACATTGCCGCCCTCTTCGAGCTCTGCTCCCGTGAGGCTTCTGTCCGACAAGCCATCGACGCTGAACGCGCTAGCCAAAAGCAACTGCAGCACGACGCCCTCTTACTTGAGGTAGGTCTTGGTGGCACTGCATTGTTTAGCCCTAGTCCACGTGGATACAAACACGCATCAATGTGCTAGGGGCAGCCAATCAGAAAACCTTGCGGTTGATGCTGGTTGCTGTGTTCATGCCCCACCAAGATGAGATCACGTTTCTCGTCAAGATTATCTAAATGTGATTGCATACTAACAGTCCGCCCCTCGGATACGCGAATCACTTTTTAATTTTTTCATATTTTGGACTGTGGACATGAAAGGGCTTTTTGGTAGTGCGATCTAACCACTTTTCTAAATTAGGGCTTGGGTTGGTGTTCCTACTGCTCAATCTTTTTTTCGCACAATATCACTTATTTCGTGTTACCCACAATTCCGGAAGGTGTGTTTGTGCCCTGTGTGCAGCTTAGAAAAATACCTTTATTCACTTACAGCTGGGTACGAACGTGGAGCTGTGTCAAATGGAAGGCCATGGGGGATATCTGTGTGGCAGGAAGGGGATAATTATCAGGCGCCTTGGGACCGTGGGGTGTGCGTGGTTGTGTGCTAGTGTGGTGCAACCCGGTTTTTTCTCCACTGTACCCATTCGCGTGTGTACTAAAAATTGAGTAGGTGAAAAAGTGGGAACACGCACACGCAGGGGTGGAGGCTGCTGACTGCCCTGCGTGCTGTTTGGTCTCACGGCGGCATTTCGTCGAAAACAAATTCCTTTGCATAAGTTACGAAAAATTTCAGGCTTGTTGGGGCGTTCTGATTTGAGCGTACTACCTAATTCTACATTATCCTCCAGCAAGGCCTGCATTGCTGTATAATTTTGGAAAACCGGAGCTATTTACGTATATTACAAAATATGCTAATGCAAGAGAGCTGACAGACAGCAACGTATATTCTCATGTTATTTTTTGTCCCATTCAGCCTTAAAAGATGATTACACTACGAAAAAAAGTAAAGGCTTTGGGTTTGTTACAATCTGACAAAACTGCTTCAGGCGTAAGACGCGGGTATGTGGTGAATGGAAGCACCGTAACCCTTTTAAAGAAAAAGAGGTTGAAATTATGACAATTGTTCCCAAAAGCTACCTGAATGGTCATACATGCTTATAGCAAAGAAAGTTTTCACTGAAGTTGGGGCGTACATTGCTGCGATGGATTCTGTCCCCTTAGTGTAGATTAAAGACGGCTGTAGAGGGGGCGTCCCCTTGCAGGATAAAGCAGTTCGGGAAAGGCCTTAAAGTCTTATTAGAAGCTTGTTAAAGAAGGTATATATGATCTACACCTGGGAACATCGACAATACCACACCCTGGAAGTGGTTGTAAAAGTTTTTGAACCGTTGTAGCCCAAAGAGCATGAGATTTTATGAGGAGGCTGCATTTGCCGATGCGGAAGTCGCAAACAGATATCTAGAGACCTTCATTTAAGCAAAGTGGTACAAGCTTGAACAGACCATTCAACATGGATGAAACTGGCTTGTTCTGCAATAGAATGTCTTTGAGAACATATTTGATGAGCGCCTCGATTTAAGGCACAAAAGGCCAAACGCACCCTCAGTCAGCCTCGTTGGAGGGGCGTGCGGACTCGCGTGCGCTTGCGATCCGGCTGCTGATTGGGGAACGTCGACTGGGCAGATTAGAAGTCGTGGAGATGCTAATGCCCCATAAAGTGTCGAGGAAACGGTCCCTTTCCTGGGAGTGGCTACGGTGATATTATGCGTTTAAAAAATACACGAATTTCAGCTCTGGAACTGGGATCATTTCTTGCTTTGATTAGCCACCCAGTGTGATTTGGTGGTGTTTCCTCCCTATGCTCCTCAAATGATGACTAGCCAATTCGAAAATTCCGTGGATTTTGGCCTATAATTAATATTCCTCTAGTTTTGGGCATAAAAACAAACGCCTTTCATTACATCCGAACGTTGCAGATGTAAGAGTCATTTTACTACTTGTCAGTTTACATTTACTATCGTTTTTCATCGTATACTTAGTGAAATTGCAGGTTTGCCTTTTCCTATTTTACCCTGAAGAACACCGGTAAGACCCTTGTGTAAATGTCCAGATTACTTCCCATTTCCTCGTGGTTGATGTTGTATAACCCACTTGACTCAGTCGTTGTTCTTGTTTCCTTCAATCAAGAGTGGTATGAGACCGGAGCTTATTCCCAGCGTGGTGGGTCCGGTTTCCAGCACAGCCAATAGCCTCCTCAACGGGCTAAAGTCGCTCTTCCACGGTGTTGAGTCGTCCACCAAAGCAATCGAAGGAGAGGATCCAGCGATTGTCAAGGCTATGGAGCAGATCACAACCAAAATCAGTGATTCCTCCTCCTGCTTGACCGAACTGGAGGTGTGTGAAGTTCGAGTATACTCTGATGTGCAAAGGAAGCCAATTATAAGTAGGTTTGAATGCTTTTTGTTCGCTCCTTTAGGAGATACGCTCGGATTTCGAGAACTCCATGGCTACGGAGTATGCTTTCTTTGAGAAGCAGCAAAGCGACGATCTTTTGACTACTATGCGGATGTACGCGACGATACAGCTGCAGATTGCAGAACGGTGTCGTCGGCTGTGGGAGCGCGCCCACTCTGCAATGCTCAACGCCGCGCCGCGCAATTCTTATCACTCCAATCGCGATGCAAATTCGTCC